TAAATAAATAATGTGTGTGTGTGCGTGTAATGCGTGTAATGCGTGTTGTTTAATTAGTCCGTCTCATGTTGGTTCCTACCTGCTTGTTTCCAGGGAGGAGGTGAACAAGGCGTACAGGAAGTTGGCGGTTCTTCTTCATCCTGATAAATGCGTCGCCCCCGGCAGCGAAGACGCCTTCAAGGCCGTTGTGAATGCTCGCACGTCTCTGCTCAAGAACATCAAATAACAAATAACAGCAAATAACACGCCTCCATCTGATTGGACCGCTCGGACATGAAGCGACCAATCACACACTGCCGTCTGAGAACTGTTTCTGTCCATGTGAGGAGGAAGACGATGAGCACCACAAACTACATTAAAGCAGCATTTAAATATTCAAATTCACTCAAACCGGCCAAAATTGAAGAAAGAAAAAGTAAAACTAGATTTTGAGAAGTTGTTTTTGTTTAATTGAATAAAGTTCAAAGATTAAAATCAGCACTTTGAGGTCTGAAGTCAAGAAACAACAGTAATAAATTTAGATTTTCAAAATAAAAGACCGAGTTTCCAGATGTGTTTGACGACCTCAGTGGAGCGGCAGGTCAAAGGTCAGTGTGAAATTATGTCTTATTCTCACGTTTTAAAGACGAGTAGCCAAAATAGAAGTTTAAAGTGCGACGTAAACAAAATGCATGTTTGATATTAATAATGTTAAACGTTTATATTTTACACAAATGTCCAGATGATGATGATGAAGATACGTATTTTCCCTTCAGTGACTCATCTGTTCCCTAAAACTAAACTTCAATGTCTTTTCTGAAGTTATTGAATATTTTCTCAAATATTAAATTATAGTTTGTTCTTAAACTGTACTCAAAATGTTCCCTCACATTCAGAGTTTGTTCCCTTAAGTAGCAAGATGTTTGCTGAAATTAGTTCCCTAAAATGTTTCATTTCTTCTCCTCTTGTTCCCTGAAAATCTTTTTTTTTTTTTTTTTTTATTCTTGTCTTTAATCTTTTTCTCCCTCAAATGTTAAATAATGGATTTAAGTTATGAGTTAAAATCGTTATTATTTACTCAAAGAGTTCATTTTCTACTTTTCCGTTAAACAGCGTTTATTTTCTACGATTCTTTGATCACGTTTACAGAATGACGGGACGTCGTTTACGGCTTGTTACTGTTAAACTAAAATCAGAAAACATTTGAGCTGAATATGTTATTATATTTTTACATGTGTCAGAAACATAAAGGCGTAGCTTCCACTTGTCACTTTAATGTGTTTTTATAACATTTAAATCATTAACACGTTGTCAAATGTAGTTTTTCCACTTAAAGACTGCATTACCCATCAGCCCCGTTGTTGCTTCTTTGTTGATATTTACAGATCAGTTCATTAATATGCTGACGATTTATTCATTTTGAAATAACAAAACAAGCAGATTTCATTTAGTTAAAAACATCAAATAGTTACATTAAATTGAAACTTGTAATAAATTGTTTAACAATTTATTACACAAATCTAACACGTTGAGTTAATTTAACTTCTCAGTGTTATAACCACATTCATTTATTCATTTATCTATTTAGGATGAATGATGGGCACAGTTTGACCTCTGTACCTCGTGTGTGTGTGTGTGTGTGTGTGTGTGTGTGTGTGTGTTCTTGTAAACGCACGTTTCACTGGATTGTTTTTGAAATAATAAAGAGATAAAAATCGTGTGTGTGTCTTTATATATCTGTCTTTGTGAGGACCAGTGACTGTTTAGAGCGTGATGCGGGACGTTCAGTAACCTGTCTCTCTGTTCACCTGTTTGTCTGTCTGTCTCTCTGTTCACCTGTCTGTCTACTTTGTGTAGACTAGTTGTCTCCATCATGTTGCCAGGTTGCTTCCATTGGTTGCTCAGTTCGTGATCGGCGGCAGCGATTACTTCCTGCTGCTGACTCTGGGGGAGGAGCTTAATAGTTGCCCCGCCCCCCTGCTGTCGTTCTGTTGCTGGTTCAGGAAACCAAAGAGTTGCCTCCTCGGACATCGTGAGTCTGGTGCAGTTGTGTTTGTCCTCTGGACGGGAAAAGTGAAAATGTTGAGGCAACAAATTGCCCTCAGTAGTTGCCCTGTTCATCATTAACTGACGTTGCCGGATAAACATGTTTATCCAATAGAGGTGAACATTTTAAGCAACTTTTAAATTGCCCAAAAAAATATAACAGTTGTCAAAGTAATAATGTTGACGCAACACACTGTAAACGTCTCCTGTTAAGATAGTTTCCATAGACAAGTTGCCCATCACATTGTCCGTAATGTTGTCCAGTTTCCTGGACGCTGAAACAATGAGAACGAGATCCAGTGGGAAAGTTGCTTTCAGAGTTGCCCAAAAAGTTCGGCAACTACTTCGAGTTTCTGATGTCCTTTCTCTCCTCCTCCCTTGCTCGTTTCCTTCCTCCTGCTGAGGTGTGATTGGTGACTCCCGTCTGGCTCCGCCCACCTCTGACATCATCAGGTGAACTTCGACACACAAACAACCGAAACGTGACGACATGACGATCAATAACCCTAACCCTACGGAAGCTCAGAGGGAACATTCATATCTTCATTAAAACTGTAGAGGCTCCTTTAAGAAACGATGCTCATTAACATGCTAATTTATGCGTACTTGAAACAAAATGTGTGATCACTTTAAACCAGTTTTCCCAGCAGCACATGAACGCATCACAGCTGAATGTATTTATTTATATTATTGTATTTATATTAGACACATTTAAATAGTTTGACTGAATGTAAACAGACATAACTGATCAAACGTTGTTTTATATGTTGTTTTTAAAGTTCTTCAGAATAAAATGTAAAGATGTGAGCAATTAGAAAACATTGAAATAGTAACAATAAATGTTTAAAATGTTCAAAATGAGGTCAGATTTAATCTGATGTGTCTTTAGTTAATAATTCACTGATCAGCTGTTGCTAACTTTTATTTTCTCACATTTTAGTTTCGTCTTCAGGCTCCTGAAAGAAAAATCAGACATTAAAGGTTTAATTTATTACAACAATAAACAGGAAGTAAACGCAGCAGATGAACCAGAAACAAATGTGATGAATCGGCTCTTTCTGCATTTATATTTATATATAATTCATTCTACTATAGTGTAATCCTCATTAAATACAGAAATAAATGTGCGTTTCAGACATTAGATGTGTTTTATATATATATATAAGTAATTGTTTAATATATTAATACATTAGCTGATATTTTGTATATATTAATGTGATTTATATTTTTATATATTCATTTTAATTTTATATTTCTATATAATAATGTTTTTTATATTTCTTTATATATTAACACATTAACTGTGTTTTATATATTGATATTATTTATATATATTTATTATAAATTAACACATTTAATGTGTTTTACGACCGTCCCCCGGACCACGTGAACGCCTCCTCACCGTGACCATTAAACTGTGAATAATTAGCTGATGACGTCACTCTATCTGGGGTCAGACGTCACTGATCATCTGAAGATGATCCATTAATTAATGATCGGTGTTAAATGAAGTTTCCGGTGATTATCGAGTCCCTGAACGCACCGGGAGGTTCGGCCGGCTCGGTGACATTCAGGGGCCCCGGGTGGCCCGCGGGCCCCTGAAGGACACACCTCTCCGCGGACGGTCCACCCATCGGATCACTGTGATCCGGATCAGTGCAGGAGGACCCGCTCCAGAGGACGCAGAGGACTGGGATCAACGCGGAGATGAACGGGACCACCGCCGACACCGAGACCCGCTCCGGGTCCGGGTCTGATGAACTCGTCTTCTTCGTTAACGGCAAGAAGGTAGAAAAAAAACTGGTGTTTAAATTAAAAAGAGCGACTTTTAAAACATGAAGGTGGACTTTACTCTTTAGCGTTTACATAACAGAGTTACTAATTATGTATGTATATATATATATATATATATATATATATATATATATACATACATACATACACATACTCTGATATGAGAGTTAAAGTTTAAAAACAGGAACTTTATGAAAGAAGCATGAAAACGAGACACGTGGAACAAAGTGACTTATGACTTGTGTGAAGAAGAAAGAAACGAAGAAGAAGAGATTATTGATTAAAGAAACGAAGAAGAGTTTAGTTTTTTATTTGAGGAGAATAAAAAGTCTAAATGATGAAAACATGAAACAATGAATTCTTTCTTTCATTTTTCATTTATTTTGGCCTCAAAGAAGTTTAATTAAAAATCATTATGAAATATATCACATATGTTTGTTTATTGACTTTATATATAATAACTTTAAATCTTAATTTTAGAAAAAGGTAGATTTCTAAAAGTTTTTCTGATTAAAAAATACATTTAATCTATAAAATATCATGAAACTTAAATCTGTCAATCAACAGATTATTAAAAACATTTTATCATATGTAACTGATTTTATTCCACATTTAAGATGTTTGACTTTGATTCTCTTTGTGCTGCAGATTGTTGAAAGAAACGCAGATCCTGAGACGAGTCTGCTGACGTATCTGAGGAGGAAATGTAGGAACACACACACACACACACACACACACACACAGACCTACACTTGTCTGCAGTCCTGCATTCTCTCTAGTGTCCACCAGGGGGCGACTCCTCTGGTTGTATAGAAGTCTATGAGAAAATGACTCTACTTCTCTCTTGATTTATTACCTCAGTAAACATTGTAAACATGAGTTTATGGTCTCAATCTCTAGTTTCAAGTCTTCTTCAATACAGCATGATGTTCATTTAGTACATTATGGTCCATTTAGAGTCACACAGACCATAAAGCAGGGGATGCTTTAGGGCGGGGCTACACAGTGATTGACAGGTTGACACCAAAGACGTATGAATATAGTTTCATGTTGTACTTTTGTACTTTTTCCTCACTCTGGCCTCATCAGGTTTCCTGTTTCACAACTTCTCAAAACTTTCAGTTCTTGTTTTATATTTTGTGTCTTCTGTTATTGTTCAATCTGACACTTTTCAGCTGACCATTAGTTTTCTGGCTTCAGCTTTAAGGAAAACAAAGTCCTTTTGTCACGATCGCTGACACGTTGGTTTTTAAAGAAATTCAAAAGCTACAGCTGGAGTTTCTGTTTTTAAATGTTTTATGATGTTATGAGTTTGGTTTATTGGTGTTCCCATCAAAGAAGATTGATTGTGAGGTCAGTGACCGTCTCTGAGATCATAATCAGCTGGTTCAAAGTGTGAAACCACAGACTCAGAACCTTGAGTCTCCTTAATGGCCTCCTGGTTTCCTGTTGCCCTGAGAGTCCTTGAGGAAGTTGCAGGGGTCTGAAGGATGTTCTGGGGCTAGTTGAGGAACTTCTAGGGGTCTAAACACGTTATGTTTGAGCTTCTCCAAGGACTCCTGGAACCAGTTCAGGGACCATACACAATCCTTTGATCCCAGTGTCCTCCCCAAGGACTATGTGAGCCTCTTCAATGACCTATGGTGCTTTATCAGAAAACCCTGCCACTTTCTCAAGGGCCATTTGATACTCCTTAAAGACTTATGAAACCTCCACAAAGTACCTTCTCAAGGACCCCATGGAAGGACTACTGCCCCCCCCCCCCAAAGTAGCTCTGGTACTTCCTCAAAGAGTTAACGGTTCCCTTCAAGGTTGACATTTAACTTTTCAGGAATCCTCAAAACCCACAAAAGGACCCTAAGAACCTCGTTGAGGACTTCCCTTGTGTCCTTGAGGAGGTACCAAAGATCCCTGAGAGGACATATTGAGGAAGCTCGGACCTCCTTAAGGACAGTTGAGTCTTCTTAAAACCTCTTCAAGGAGCAGTTGAACATCGGGTCTCTAGTCAAACACTTCTTGTTGTCCACGTAGAGACGATAACAGACTTCTTGGTGTCCACGTAGAGACGATAATGAACTGCCCTGGTTCAATCTTGCGTTAAACGAGGACACCTCGTCTTTCACCATCATCTATTCATTCACAGAAGAACTGTTTTAGTTTGAAGTTTCTTGAGGTCAAAGTGTCTCTGAAAGCATGACTGGACTGATGATCCGCCTCGTCAATGATTCATAATTTGCTGTTGACTCTGTGTGTAGTGGGTTTAACAGGAACCAAACTGGGTTGTGCTGAAGGCGGATGTGGCGCCTGTACCGTCATGCTGTCCAGATACCAAACACACACTCAACAGCTGCTGTATCCTTAAAGCTAGTGTGTGTGTGTGTGTGTGTGTGTGTGTGTGTGTGTGTGTCTGATGAACCGTCCCATCAGCTGCAGTCATGTGCTTCCATCTGACACATTCAGACAAACTGATTTCACAGCTGATTAATGAACCATATGTGAG